ACGTCATTTGTAAGCCTTTATGAGATGCATGTCCAGTAAGAATTAGGAGCCTGTAATGGAAAGAGTTGATGAGCCAAAGCAAAATGTTGAAATTTTTGGTGATATTTTTAGGACAGTGACCTTGAAAAATAGGCCAAGGTCACCTCTAGGCACGTCATTTGTAGGGCTTTATGAGATGCATGTCCAGTAAGAATTAGGAGCCTGTAACTGAAACAGTTGATGAGATACAGCAAAATGTCGAAGTTTTTGGTGATATTTTCAGGCCAGTGACCTTGAAAAAATAGGCCAAGGTCACCTTTAGGCATGTCATTTGTAGGGCTTTATGAGATGCATGTCCAGTAGAAATGAGGAGGCCTGTAACTGAAACAGTTGATGAGATACAGCAAAATGTCGAAGTTTTTGGTGATATTTTTAGGCCAGTGACCTTGAAAAAATAGGCCAAAGTCATCATTAGGCACGTCATTTGTAGGCCTTAATGAGATGCATGTCCAGTAAAAATTAGGAACCCGTAACTGAAATAGTTGATGAGAAACAGCAAAATGTCTAAGTTTTTGGTGAAATTTTTAGGCCAGTGACCTTGAAAAAATAGGCCAAGGTCACCTTTAGGCATGTCATTTGTGGGGCTTTATGAGATTTATGTCCAGTAAAAATTTGGAGCCTGTAACTGAAATCATTGATGAGATAAAGCGAAATGTGTTGACGAACGCACGCATGCACGCACGCAGACACGCACGCACGGATGGAGCCCGACACCATAGCTCCCGCACCACGAGCGGCAGGAGCTAATAATAATTATGTTTTCCAGGTGCAATTACAATTACCGAATCAGTTGAACAGTGATTAAGATGAAGGTGCCTATGATCTGCCCAAAAAGTTTAAATTAGTTTAAATGGGTGATATTTCACTGAGAGCATGAATAAAAAACATGATGAAAGCGTACAAACCTTTTGACTGATGATGTATCCTCAATATTAAAAAAAAAAAAAATAGAGCCGATAGCCCTGTAGCTCACCAAGCCAACCAGATCAAATTGTAGGGATAAATGATGAATGGCTTTCACTTGATATCCCATACCTAAGCAAATGTCCATTAGTGTTTGGTCAAATTGATACCAGATAAGGTCCAGAGTACAGCTCTGTTTTTATTTGTTGTGTCAAATGTCTTAATACATTACATTCAGCAAGTAAATTAATGTAATATTCCGCATTCTATTTCCCTGTCAAAAGACAGTATGTCTCCTGATCCAGCAGAACTGCAATCAGCATTGATGACAGTTACATACACACACCAAATTTGGAGGACATTGCTCGTTTCAAAACTAGATGCAAGAGCTTCAAATCACTTCCAAACATGAGGCAAAATTTCAAAGTCACATCAATTCCAGATGAAGATCCAGATTATGGGAATTTCATTATATGTTGCATCAAACATATTATTTAATCAGTCTGAGTAATTAAATTAACAAAGTGTCCTCTACTTAAAGCCATTTTAGCACCGTAGCACTTTTTGCCATCCACCTCCCATGTTAAAGGACAATGTGTGATCCAGAAGAATTGACTTAACAAAACTTAAACCACCAATCAGAATTGATGATAAATACATACCCACCAAATTTGGAAGACATTGTTCCATTCAAATCCCCAACAGAGTTTCGATCCACTTCCAAACATGGGTCAAAATTTTGAAGTCGCAAAGATTCTGGATCAAGATCCAGATTACAGCTAACTCCAAACAAACACGAGTGACATGGTCGCTAGAAAGCTCCATGCCACACGTAAAGTGAATCGGGCCACCTATTTCATAGCAGAGGATTGTGAAGGATTTTCCCATTGTAAGTGAATGTGGAAAATTTCATCACAAAAAGTATTAAAAATGTGAATATTAAAATATTAATATATAAAACATTAAAATTCAAAACCGTGAAAAATCTTGGTAGACATTGTCCCAAGGAAGCTCCTTAACAAATTTGAAGTAAATCTCGCCAGTCGTTTTGGAGAAGACTATTTTTGAAGTTCTCAGGTGAAAAAACTCAAAAAAAAAAAAAAATCATAAAAAACACAAATATTTTCTTCAAAAAACCATGAACAATCTTGGTAGACATTGTCCCAAGGAAGCTACATACCAAATTTGAAGCAAATCTAGCCAGCAATTTTAGAGAAGATGATCTTTTAAGATTTAGCTAACGAATGACGATCATGAACGCAATCACGATCACAACTACAACGCCAAAGTCTGCAAGATCACAATAGCTCACGGCCTATCGGCCGTTGAGCTAATAAAAAAGCATTTTTCGTGGGTACATTATATTGATGGCAAATCTCAGGAAACTGTTCACTTTAGGATACAATGCGTCCTCAAGGAGACAATGTCAGTCTTACAACTTTTCTATTCATTTTGATGAGAAAAAAAGTTTAGGGTGTTCTTATCAGCTGCTCCGTGAATGCAAAGCACAACTTAATCACTGAAAATTACAATGGCCCAAGCTGTGCTTTGGACACCTCTAGCTGATCATAGCTGGTCTGTTGGAGGTCAAAGCTGGTCAAAAGCTGATTAAACTGGTTCAGCTGGTAAAGTTAGAAGGTGGTGAAGCTAGTGGATCAACTAACTATACAGGCTGACCAGCTGGTTGAAAAACTTCAAGTGTCCAAAACACAGTGTCAAGTACCTTGGCATGCTTGTGCTGGGTTTAGCTGAAATTTTTAGCAGGATTGTCCCTTCATTCACTCCAATGCATCATTCATTGGACTTGCTTTACCAGAGACTTGTCTCAGTTCAGATTGAAGCAACATCCTTTAACAAACGGTGGGTATAATACTAATCCAAGCCAGCAAACAGATCTGTGCTCTAGCGAAGGACAGTTCACCGAGCAAGAGTCTTTAAATTTTTTTCTTTCTTTTTTTTTTTTTTTTTTTTTTTTTAAACAGTGGTTGTGAGCTTGCCTTTACTGCTGCATCAGTAATTTAGAAGACTGTGCCCCATAACTTAAAAAACAGGCTAAATAAGCTAATGTGCTTTGTTTGTCACAAACATTGTTAGTGAGTATATTGTGCACATTATGAAATACAGCTGGAAAGTCCTGCCCAAACTTTTCACTGTAGTTTGCATTTGAATAACAATCAATCCATTGAATAAACAAGTCTGACATTAGCTCACCATTCTCTACGTTGGCTAGTCGGTGCATTAGTGGCAACCACACCAGACACTGAGGGGGGGGATCAGACATGAGTGTGTCCAGGAAGGTGTTGAGGGAGATCTTCTTCTGATAATTTCCATTGGAAGATGGAGAAAGACCATAGTTAGCCAAACAGGGCACAGTTTAAACAACAGATTACCAAATTTAAAATGAACATGCTGCTGGCATAGAGATAACAAATAGAAAACCAACAAAAAGTGACTTAGTTTCATTGTAGTTCTGTGGGAATAACTATTCTTCTGATAAAAATCAAGCATATAAAAATGCTAAAAATCAAGGTTCAATTTGACACAAAAAGTGATTTTATGGCACTATCCTGTATGTTACAGCTGGGGTGTGTTATTATGCAGGAGGCAAAAGCATCCATTATTAGTATCACGGAAGTGCTTATCAAAGCTGCTGACACCCATATTTGACATTTTGTTCAACTGCAACAAATTCGCAAAATACTACTGCCCATTTTTTATTTTCAATACATTATGCCATTTCATACCAACTGATTTAGTGGCCAATCACACCAAACGCGCTTTATTGGCGTGGAAACGCGAGGCGCCTCTGACCTGTTTTTTTTTTTTTTTTAAAGCCAACGTTGCAAAAAGGCGCTGGTCGCGTCTTTTCTGTGTTGCTAAGTAACGTTCCTGTTACTCATCTTTGCGAACATTCTGAAATTGACCGTTTCAACGAACTAGTCAGCCAACTGATTTAAGGTTTTTTCATGATTGGACAGCAGGGAAAAGACTGACAATGACGTGAAGCGCCTTTTTATCGAGGCACCTCAAAATAGGACTGTGTTTGATACGAAGCGCATCAAAAAACAGCGAGGCGCCTGGAGCGCTTAAACGCGAGGCACCCGGTGCGCAAAAGCAGCGTCCAGAACACGTCTAATCATTGAGAATATAAACAAAAAGGGCACCCCACACCAATAAAGCGCGTTCAGTGTGATCGACCCCTTATGAGGCCATTGCAATTTAATTGCCAATTACTGAGTAAATGGCTGTTGGAATCGTGAATTATGCATTGATGTCAGTTTACACACAGTATCTGCCTTTTTGAACCATGTTTAGTGTGCTCAACCCCACTTTAACCTTTATGAAGACAATTTTGACACCAGTTGCTTGCTTTTTAGTCCTGGATAAGCAAGGCTTCGGAAGGAGTGTCGTGATGAGACTCTGGCGTCACTCACTAATCAATCAATTAGCACGACCACGGGCGGTAAGATAAAAATGATCTTGGCATGGATGACTGGCCCTAATTCACAAACAGCTTATCCAGGAGTTAATGATAGTGTCACTTTAATAAACTGTGGAGCTACTGTGATATTTGCTTCTAAATATTTTTCCACCCAGTGGGCTTTTGTTGTTTTCAGAAAACATACTTATATTTCAATAGATTTTTTTTTACACAGTTGGCAACTCAGATCTGCAATTTTTTGGCATAATACTGCTGAAGTTATGTAGTAGGCAGAAGGGGTGTAACACCGATCCATTGTCTGCATCAGTAACATTGAAAAAGTGTTCGGACAAAGACTGGCAGCGGGCACAGCATCAGATGAAAGATAAGATATACTTTATTAGACCCTGTGCAGTAATTCGTCCTTTGCATTTGATCCATCCTTGTTACTTAGGAACAGTGAGCAGGCACAGTTCAGCCCTCATGGACTAAGTGCAGTACCAAAGCCAATTCCTTGGTCGGGGCATTGGTCGAAGTTTTCCTGCAGAGCATGTTTTTCTGGCTGGAGGAAACCGAAGTACCAAGGGAAATCCACGAAAACACTAGGACAACATGTAAACTCCACACAGAGAGGTCCTGGCTGGCCAGGGCTTGAACTCGGCACCTCCTGATCGCAAGGCAGCAGTGCTAAACACTGCGCCACCATTCCATCCCAGCAAATGGAAATTACTGGAAATCTCCAATAAAGCTTTTTTTTTTTTTTTAAATAGTTATACTCGGCATTTGAGATGCATATTTAGGTTTTGACTGATGACACGTACATAAAGTATAACACAAAAAACACAGATTAAAAATATAAAACAAACTGTTAAGAGAAACTATGTTCCTTCTTCATTCACACAGAAATTTTACCATCCTGATGTGTCTGACAGAAAATAACTAAACTTTAGACAATAAGATCAACATAACTTCCTACCCTCCCACTTTTTGTGCCCGTGTATGGAGCTAAAACAATAATTTTAAATTTTGGCATCAAAAATAAAAATGGACATTGAAAACACACCTTAAACTGAAAAAGGAAACATTGGCATAGAAACTCTTGTATTGTAAAAAGTTGTATTGGCTCAAAAGCAAGAATTAGAACGAAAAAAGTTTAACTGAAAAACAAAATCCAGGCATTAAAAATATTTCTGCCATATTTTTTGGAATTCCAATGTGTTTTTCAACAATATTCTGGCATGGAGAGGAGGGGGCAGATACATATAATCTGAATTCTAAAGAGCAAATGTTACTCTCCTAAGCCTGCATTCTGCTCCAAAACCCCTAGCAGGAATGAGCTTTTACTGAGAGTTCCACAAGTGCTCTTATTTTTCACATAGCACCAGGCTAGATTAAAGTTAACCTTTAATGCTCAACGACAGAGGAGCAGTAATCCTGGAGGACGCCATCTAAGTGATGCCGTAATCGTAATTGTACCTGAATACTTAACCTTAAATTGAATATTGATGAGGAGGTGGTGCCCTAGAACTATTCAAAAGATGGGAGTTCTTAAGTCTGAAATGATGGCATCGACATTGTTTGAATCATATCTTCCCATAAAACCTGATCCACCACCAGCCTGACATATCTGGCTACAGAAGATACAAGGGAATATTTCATGACATACATTGTTGAGGAAACATTTGTCTAAACTCCTAGCAACAACATTAAGCCATACATAATCAAATTAATGTGAATACAGTAGTGAAACACTGCTACAGGAATAACAAAATACACAAAATAAATCCTGTGTTGTCAGACAACTATCAGAATCTCCTATTTGATATTAATATAAATACACAATGTTACTGTTGGGTCATTCCACGAGAACTCAACCAAAGTGCAAGAATCTTCCACGGTCCGCGACTCAGATTTGCCTCAGATTTATTTTGGGAGTACGTCTATATACATAATGAACACATGCAATATTTTAGGCTCCTACTCCAAAGGGTTTCCAAGATATGCCCCCCCCAAATATCTGGGGCCACGCTCCCTTTTTGCCCACGCAAATTGTAAATGTTAATTTATAGGAATTTTGAAGGCCAATATCTTTGGAACAAATCATAGGTTTTGACTGAAAATGGCCACCCTGGGTAACTTGGGTCCAGGCTTTCAGAATCTCCTCAAAATGTATCCATCTCTTCATTTTCAAGATACTGGCCTCTCAAATATGAAACTTTTTATGGGCGGAAATCAGAAATTCAGTTTTCAAGGGCCCCCTTTGAGGCCAGGATCCCTTACAGAGGCTAAATTGTGCTGCATTCCTTCTATTTGAGGACAGGTCGGTTTGTACAAGGAAGATTGACTGCACCCAAGGCATAATAGTGGAGTTATGAGACTCTGAACAGGGTCCCAGCTTAAAAAAGTCACTTTTTTGTCAATTTTGGATTGGCAGGTTCACCATGCGGGCAGTTACTCATGGTAATGAAACTTTTTCTACATAAATGTATATATCTTGGCTTTATTTGTTCAAAATTAAAGCTTGATTTCTCGTGTCCTTCACCATTTAATCATGTCATCAAATATAGGTGTTTTGGGGTAAAAACGCCCATTATTATCCCCTTTGTTCTGCACCTATTAAGTTTTACATAGACAGTGCCTACTAATAAACTCAAGTTATATAATTTCCTGAGATAATCTGACATGATGTTGCAAATCAAGTGTATCACAGTGAGAGAAATGAACTTCCTTATAGTACAGTGCTTTTACAGTAAACACTGTGTAAAAAGTTATTTCCTGAGCGGAGAGCAAACACCTTTACTGGAATATGACCCTGTGTTTGGGGGCATTCTGAAGCACACTGTCTATGCGTAAGCTCAGAGCAGCAAGCTGACATCTTCCAATTTGGGACTCTTATTAAGCGCATGACGTTTAGACCAGTTTTGAAAATATCAGTTTCAGTATGAACAACTGCCTTTTTCATGGCACCAAGAGACAAATTTATTTTGGTGGCAGAACACACAGAGCTTTCCACAAATATAGGTTTCATTAAAATTGAAGGATGCCCACATCCTGAAAAAAGGGGTTGAAAAAGGGTCACCCCCCACAGGCAGGTAAAATAAGGCTCAATATTTCCAAAGAACTATAAATGCTACAGGATATTAATTGGTGGCTATAGAAAGCTCTGACCATTACTAATAGCTGATATTACCACAAATCGCATATGTCATCAGATGGGTGTGAAAATGGTACCCTTAAATGTGTATATTTTGATACCGTTTTGCAAAAGTAGCATTTTTGGGAGCCTATAAAACCACAATAAAAGGCTTAAAACTACTTTGATTGGCATTAAAGGGTAGTACAGTGTCTAGAGAACAAGTCCTGAAAAAAAATCATGTGGTTAGCTTCATTGCCTCCAGAGTTGCAGCCTGTTAAAAATGGAAAAAATGCTAATTTCGCCCACGAGGGTGCTACGCCCACTTTTTTGACCTCTCAGAAAATCAAAACTAGCATGCCGATTGAGCTAAAACTTGGTATTTTTTTCATTTGGCACCCAAAGCAAAATTCTATTCAAGTTTGGAGAAAATCCATGACTATGCCCATGGAACTTGTCTGAATATTGGTTGATTTAATATGGAATGACCCAATAATAAGAATAATAAAAAACACTATAGTTACAACAGGATTCTTGCACCCTCGGTGCTCGGGCCCTAATTAAGGCATCATTTAGATGCCTGCGTCCACAGTTATTGCCCCTCTGCAGAGAGGGGATAAGGATTTAACATCGTTTTTCAGTGAATATACAACAGGACTGTTGCGGCGCATACAGTATGGTCACCTGAACTTAGCGAGGTGGGAAAGTTAATTAATCAGACACAAGGAATGCAGTTTTAAACTAGTTGATGTGCCCGTCCAGGGTGCAATAAAGCATCATTTCATCAAATGGTAGACCATATGGGTTGCAGCTGTTGGCTTTGTTTATTTTTGTGTGCGAAGCAGTTAAATCACTTGGTCAAAAATTAAAAGTTCCAAATATGACAGCTCAAATTAAGGAAGATTTGCACCAATTTTGATTTCATTATTTGTTCCAGGGGCATAACAAATTTTCAAAGGGCCCAGGGGCAAATTTTTCAGTTGGGTCCCTTTTCCTTCACCATCAGATGCTCTGAAAGGGATAACAAAGTCACTTTACCTTCCCATTATGTTCAGATTAATAAACCTTTTTCGGTTTGAGGTCAGTTTGATGCCCGCGATGAAAACTACATAAGATGTTTGTAACTGAAAGTATTACCGATGCTTACAACTTGTGTACAGAACATAAAATTAAATTTTTTGAGTTAAAGGAGGACTATCATGGCTGGGAAAGTTGGGTGTTACTATTTCAATATATCATGAAAAAAGCTCTTACGACTTTGTTTTCTTTATTTTGCGATTTCTTTAATTTTTATGAGCGATTTTACAAAACTAGTGGACCGCTCCATTTTCACCACAGCAAACGGAAATTCACCCTCGATCCGCTTGGGGCGCCCCTGATCGTGACGTCAGTGCGGCTGTCAGCGCCATGAATTTCCATTGTCCTGCGGTCCTGCATTGAGATTGTTGAATGACCGAGAAATTCCTGCTTTCTGTATGGGGCAGACAGACGAGCTTGATTATTACCTTTTTCTATCTGACACAACTTTAATTTAGAGGTGAACTAACATCAGAGGCCATTTGAAATGCTTCCGGAAAGAAAAGTGCGATTTGAAGTCTGCTATAATTACCAGCGAGGCTGGACAGATGCCGTCACCTTGGCATAATTAGCTCACCTTAAAACAATTCCCGTGTATTTTGCCTAACTTGTAATCAAGCCATTTATTCAGCCAACTGACCAATAAAAACCAAAATCAAGCCAATAATGATTTAGAAGAGATAATGAGAAGCAGACAAACCGAACCAGGCTACCGTGCTAGATTGAAATAATGTCAGTAATCTGAAAAAATAGCAGACCTCTGAATTCCACCTCTCGTCGGAAAACTTTCACGTATTATTAAAAAAGATTTCTTAAAAATAAAATCATGTTAAGATGGCCCTGGTTTTTAAGCGTCTAAAAATATACGCGAAGTAGAGAACATTGTGTGAAGCGCATCAAACGTGAATGAGAGAGAGAAATTATTTTCGCATTGCAAGCAATGGACAAATGCACTGAAGACAGGGCAAGCACGTTCAGGCAAATCTGAGCCGCAAATTTTAAACATTTTTTATTTAATAATTGAACAAGATTCACACACAACGGCCAAATGTAATAATCAAGCAAACACATTCATGCAAACTGCGTGCTGAACTAAGCACAGTCAAGGTCTTCAAAATCATCCTCCTCTACTCGACAATTGCTTTCACCCCCTTCCCATTTACTTGGCTCAATTTGCAATCAAACAGTTGATTCACTCAATGAACAATTTTAAATTGGTTGGTAGTCTAATTTATTTAGATATCCATGTATTCAGACATTTTGACATCGCATGCATCATGCACACGAATGCACATGCCCAGATAGCAAGCATCTCCGCTCCGGATCTGCCCCGGCTCTGAGCCAGATCAGCTGGAGTCGGCACAGAGCCGGGGCAGATCCGGGGCGGAGGTGCTTCCTATCTGGGTGGCAGCCGCAGTGACGTTATGATCTTGCAAGATCTCATGCCACTTGTGGCGTTAATGGCGGCCTCCTGGAAACAGCAATTCCGGCTAATTAAT